CAGAAGTTTTGTCGCTGATATACAGAAATGCCTTTGATTTGTGTGTGTTGATTTTATATCCTGCCACTTTGCTGAATTCATTTATTAGTTCTAGTAGTTTTTTTGTAGACCCTTTTGGGTCTTCTAGATATATAATCATGTCATCCGCAAATAGTGATAATTTGATAATTTAATCCGCAAATAGTGATAATTTGACCCTCAGCACCACATAAAAATAAATAAAATAAAGATATTTTGTCCATCTTTTAAAAAATTATAAACAAAGATACAATTGTCTTCTGAAGCTGTACATTTCTACTCTTACCGCATGTTGAATACCACTGAAAAAACATTTATTTTTAATGAATTATCTGTAATGTTGGTTTATGTTGCTGATCACTTTGTATACAATCACAACTAAATCTTAGAAATTTTTATCTTCCAGCAAATAGTATTCCTAAACACTGAAATAAAGAATTGTTCTTATGTTTGATAGAAAACTATTCAAAATCAATTTATGCTGATTCATCAGAGAAGTGTAGATATATTTTAAAGGTAATGTGGATAAAGCTTTCTGCTTTAATGAACACCTAACAAATATCTGACTCAGCTATGAGACTGAATATTAAGTATTGATAAAATCCATTAATGAATTCATATTTGTAAAGAGCTTTAGCTCTCATTAAATATACCAGGTATTCAAAACCATTAACATCAAGTTTACTTTGTAAGATGGTGGTATAAACTGGGGTAAAAAGTCCTATTGTAGGGTGTTCCCCCAAACCCTCTGCCAACTCCTGTCAGTGAGGATAGCAAATAGAATCTCACCCACTCACCCTGCGCCCAGGCCAGTGGGTAGTCACTATGTCAGTGACTACTGGCTCACAGCAGTACATTTTTGGACTGTCTATTTTTTATAATAATAATCTAGAACTAATGTTAGGATTAAATATCCTTATCATACAATAATGATGATTTTTCCTCTGCAGTACTGGGGATTCCAGGGCCTCTCACATACTAGGCAAGTGCTCTGCCACCAATCTATATCTTCAGCCTCCTTTAAATCTTATTGTGAGACAGTGTTTTTCTACATTGCACAGTTTGGACTCAAATTTGTAATACTCCAGCCTCAACATCCTGAGTCACTGAAATTACAGGTATGTTCTAACATGGCTGTCATGATGAGCTAAATTTACTATGAAAGTTCAATAAAAGATTGGCAGGTTTTGTACCTTTCTATACTTTACTAAGCACAGAGAAGTGAATGTGATCTACAGTCATCATAAAACTATTAGCAACATAGACACAGTGCAGACGTAGGGGGCACCTGTGAAGTCATGTCAGTTAAGCTTTGTTTTAACACTTCTATGCTGTCGTTCAATTTGTCTTTAGTATAATAGCTGCCTTTAGGTTAGACACAAAGACCTGAGAGTCAGTCAAACATTTCAAAATCTTGAATACAATTCCAAGTGTAAAATGGAAAACAATTACTTGGGGTAGGTCAGTTTAAGACACAAGCCACACCACTATCCAAATATAAATTTTAGTTAGGTGAGTGTTTCCTTCCAATAATGTCAGGTAGTGAATTACTTCACAATACATCTTTACCCTTTCATCCTGCCTCTCCTTTTTGTCAAAATTCCTGCTGCTTGCAAATAATGATGAGAAGGGTATGATTACTTTTATAATTTGTAAATTTGAGCCTATTTTCAGAGTTACTAAATTTGTATTCCTTTTTTTCAGTGTTATCTGCACTAGAATAGATTATTTCAAGAAGTCAGTATATATCTCCCTATGATAATGTGTCAGAACACAAACTCAGTTGCATTTAACATGTGAGACAGCATTCAAACTGAAAGCATTTAGTTTTAAAAGCAAACTCATACACTGTTGTTTTTTTAATGTGATGGTGTATTACCAAGATCATAGTTTTTTGAATGATAACTCAATGATTAGGCTTTCATGGTGACATAATGAAATGTGATGCAGGGTGTCATTTCAGGAGTTCATTCACTGAGCAGGGAGGAAGAAGAGAGTTGAGGCTCCACCAATCAGCATGAACTAAAATTTGCTGAACATTAAAACCCAATAAAGATTGCTGTGATGTGACTTACAGAGAGGAGGCTGATAATCTCTTTTTCACATTGAAGTCATCATTTTGACCCTGCCTGCCTCTCAGGTGGTTTAGGAGGTTCCATCAAAGAAAAAAAAAGTGCATGAACAGTTCCTCTCCCTGATGATAACATATTAGATGAAGAAGATACAATGAATTCAGAAGGTGTGAAGTACCTGAATGAACTGATAAGTCAGTGACAGTGACCATGGGAATGAACTCATGCAGCCAAATGTTCCTGTATGAAGATGAACAGGGCCCACACCAAAGAGAATGAAAGGCCTCCACTAGACCTGCTTCAAAAGGATCCCATGGTGCCCTAGCAACACACCATGCTGTCAATGCTGCCTGGGAGCCACTGCCCATTTCACCTGGCACAAAAGAAGAGCGCTTGAGGGAGGTTGAGAAGAGGTGCAAGAGGAAGGCAGGAGGTGGATGGGCTCAATGAGCCTTCATATCCCTCTCTCCTCCCTCCATGGGCCCTCCTGCACTTCCCTCTCAGAGGCCCAATCATAACTGACAGAGGTGGAAGAGCTGGGGTCATAAGAAGCTCAAAGGATATTTCTGCTGGGAGCAGCAGAAGCAGTTGGGTAACCCACAGGAACACAGACTCTGGATGTTATTCACAGACACAGCTCAGATCTTCTGCCCTGTGTGTCCTCAGCGGCCAGCCAAATGGCTGGTGGCAATGCATCTTCAGCACTGAGGCTGTCAGGCAGAAGGAGGCAACAAACCAAGGACTTGGAGAAACAAGAACAAGAATCAGAATCTGCAGGAATCAGGGGGAGGGAATGTACAATCTACAGTTTCTTTATATGTATTGAGAAGTGACACTTCAGAGAAGTGGTACCATAAATAGTCCCAAAGAGCAGAGTGCAAGTGTCCACACAAGTACACATTCAGTGGTCTCCATAGCTAGTTTCACACCCAATATAATACTATGGTGAAAAAAGATCCACAACCACAGGGTAACCACATTAAAACCCAGAGAAGGAAGTCTCCACAGCTGTTCCACAGTAGTGATGGACCTGTGAGCATGGCATCTGATTTGGATCTTGCATCTGGGCATGAAATAGTGCTTCTTGCCTATCCACTTAGCAAGGATTCAGACCAAGTATTCAAGTCCAGGTTGTGGGAATGCAATAAGATCTGCCCTCTTCTTTGCTATTCTTTGATCAATATTTATATATGGCACCACTACTCTGGCTAATTAGGGAACCATAAAATAGACACAGAATGTATGCAGTAATTCCACCTCTGGTGGATCATGAAAAAAAATATTTAGAGGTCCTGACAAAGGCTGATGTACTAAGTGTTCACTGCAGTGAACCTGTTTTTTAGAAGATCCAAACTTAGTGAGCCCAGCGAAGCCGGGTGTAAGATGCATCCTTCCATGTGTCCGAAAAATCCGACCAAAAATACTTTGGAGATATTTCAGTACATGTGTGTTCAACTGCTTGCTCCTAAAGTGTTCACAGAAATAGCTGTCCTTTTCTACTTCAGCTTATGGCAATTTCAAAGGAAACAAACCAGAGACTGTGCACTGAAAACTGATTAAGTGGGTGAACTTTAAAGCAGGTAGCACAAATCTTGTTTGCTTACCACCATCATTTACATACATCTGTATAGGGCAACATGAAATGAAACAGGAACCTTCAAGGGAACCATTGAACCTAGAACACCAAAATTGGAGAATCAAGTATCAAAGTAATCCAACAAAAATTGACCCTAAACCTAACACTAACCCTAAACTTAACCCTAACCCTAAACCAAAACCTTACCCTAAATATTAGTGAACCTTTGAGCATAGAAGACCCAAACTTGGGGAGCCTTCTGGGGCTAGGTAATAGGTGAATTCTGCCCAGTATCAATGAAATATGATCATAAAAATTTTGGAGATATTTCAGTACAGGGTATTCCCCTGCTTGCTCCTAAAGCACTCACAGATGAAGCTTTCTATTTGCTCTTCAGCTTAGGCAATGAAATCTAAGAACAAACCAGAGAGTATGCACTGAGAACTGATTGAGTTTGTGAAGTTTAAAGTAGCTAGCACAAATCCTGTTTGATTTCCACTTTATTTCCATTCATCCCTATAGGACACAGTGAGGTGAAACATGAAAATTCAAACTCTTCCACCAGTGAACCATTGAACCTAGAAGACCAAAACTTGGTAATCCTAGTAAGACTAGGTAAAAAAAATGAATCTTGCCCAGTATCCAATAAATTGGACCAAATTAAACCCTATTCCTAACCCTAATGCTAACCATAATCCTAACCTTAACCCTAACCCTAACCCTTACACTGACCTATTAGAGAAACTTTGATTCTAGAATACCCAATCTTTGAAAGCCTAGAGGTACTAGGAAAAAAAAATGAATGCTGCCCAGTGTCAAAGAACTCCAAGTAAATTTAACCTTCACCCTAACACTAACCTTGACCCTAACCCTAAAACAAATCTTAAGCCTACCCTGTTAGTTAATCTTAGAACCTACAAGACGTGAACTTCAGGAGTCTAGTGGGGCAAGGTAATGAATAAATTCTGCCCAATATTAACAAAATTCGACCATAAAAATTTTAGATCTATTTCAGTACAGGGTATTCCCCTACTTGCTCCTAAAGTGTTCAAAGATGAAGCTGTCTCTTTCTACTTCAGCTTAGGGAAAATTCAATGAGGAAAAAAACAAACAGTGTAGACTGAGCACTGATTCAGTGTGTGAAATTTCAAGCAGCTAGCACACATTCTTTTTGATTTCCACATCTATTTTCATTCATCACTAAAGAACAAAATGAAGTGAAATATGTATTCAAACTATATCTCCCAGTGAACAATTGAATCTATAAGACCTAAATTTTATGAACCTTATGGGAGACCAACCTTACACATGATTGAGTCACACTCTCCAGCTGGGTGCTGAGGCACTCAGTCACAGAAATGTGGCAGAGCTTTCCCCACTCTTCTTGGATGCAAGGGTCGGAGTCTTGTGCATGGGTGTGTCTTGCTACAGCCCCATGGGTGAAGCTATGCTCACCTGTTCCTTTGTAATATAACCCCTTGCCCTGTTTAGGATAGAATCTTCCATGGAAGGGCCTTGTGTGTGTCCCCTTCTCTTACTGTGCCCTTGGGTGTGGCCTACCCAAGTGTCAGTCAACCTGCTGATAGTGGACATCATGAAGATAGACTCAGCCCCCTGAAACCTGACCCCTTGCCTCATTTGAATAGCTTCCCTCAATAAAAGGGGTCAGCTCATGCTCTTGCTCTCTCTCTTTCTGTGGACCCTTAAGGTCAGAGGAGCCATCACAGCAACCCCAAAGAAAAAGGTATTTGTGTCTCTTGTGTGGTTATTTCATGCAGCCCAGTTATCCCAGTTTAACTGGAGTGACCCCTGAGCCTTTTAGTCATGAGAACAGAAACCCGGCAGTTAGAGTTATGTTTAGCATTGGAGTCAGGGTTAATTTTGGTCTATTACCTAGTCCCATTAGCCTCCCTAATTTTGGGTCTTCTAAGAACAAAGGTTTGCTTACATGTTAGATTTAGGGTTAGTATTAGCATTATGCTTAGCGTTAGAGTAAGGGTTAAAATTGGTCAGATTACTTTGATACTTGCAGGATTCATCTTTTTCCTAGCCTTAGTAGTTTCCCTAGTTTGGGGTCTTCTAGGTTCCATGGTTCACTTGCAGAAACACTCTGAATTTTCATGTTTCCCATTAGTTTTCTCTATAAGGATGTATGAAAATGGAGGTGGAAATCAAAGAGGATTTGTGCTAGCAGCTTGAAACTTCACACTCTTCGTCAGTTTTCAGTGGGCACTCTCTGGATTGTTCCTTGTTGAATTATCCCTTAGCTGAAGGAGGCAGAAACAACAGTATTTTGGGGTTGCTTTATGAGAAATCAGAGAAATATCCATGTACTGAAATAGTTACAATAATTTTTGTTCGAATTTTTCTGATACTGAACATGATCCAACTTTTATGTAGCCCAACTATGCTCCTCATGTTGGATAGTCTAAGTTCAAATGTTTGGTAACAGGTTAGCATTATATTTAAGGTTAGTGTTCATGTTTGGGGTATGGTTAATATAGGATTAGGGTTAAATTTGGATGGATTACTTTGATACTAGGAAGGATTAATTCTTTATGAATCCTTACCAGGTACTGCAAGTTTAGGTCTTCTTGGTTCAATGGTTTGCTTGTAGAAACAGTTTGGATTTTCACTTTTACTTCATTTTGCTCTATACAAATGAATGGAAATAGATGTGGAAATCAAATAGAATTTGCATAAGCTTCTTGAAAGTTCACACACTCAATCAGTTCTCAGTGTGTCCTCTCTGGTTTGTTCCTTGTTGAAGTAGCCCTAAGGTGAAGCAGAAAGGAACAACTTTATGTGGGATCACATTAAAAAGAAAACAGAAAATTAGGCATGTACTCAAATAGCTCCCAAAAATTTTTTGGTCGGATTTCTTTGATACTCAGCAGGATTCCTCTATTACCTAGACTGACTGTGCTCCTAAAGTTTGGGTCTCCTGGTTTAGAGGTTTTCTAACAGGTTAGAGTTCAGTTCAAGGTTTGGGTTAATGTTAGGGTTTTGGTGCGTGTTAGTGTTAGGGTTAAATTTTGTGAGATTACTTTGATACTGAGCAGGATTCATCTTTTCCCTAGCCTCACTAGGCTCACCAAGTTTATATCTTTTAGGTTCAAAGGTTTGATAACAGGTGAATGTTAGGTTTATGGTTAGTGTTATGGTTAGAGTTAAATGTGGTGGAATTATTTGGACACTAGGCAGTATTCATCCATTACTCATCCTTAAGAGGTTCCCCTTGTTTGGGTCTTCTAGGTTCAATGGTTCACTGACAGGAACTGTTTGAATCTTTATGTTTCTCTTCATTTTGCTCTGTTAGGATGAATGGAAATGGAGGTGGAAATAGAAAATGATTTGTTCTACCTGCTTGAAACTATACACACTCAAATATTTCTCGGTGTGCTCTTTCTGGTGTCTTCCTTGTTGAAGTTGCTCTAAGCTGAAGTAGAAAGGGACAGCTTTATCTGTGAGCACTTTAGTAGCAAACAGGGGAATACTTATGTACTGAAATAACTCCAAAGATTTTGGATGTATTTCAATGACAGTGGGCAAGATTCATCTTTTACCTAGCCATGTTAGGCTTCTCACATTTGGGTCTTCTAGGTTCAAAGGTTTGCTAAAAGTTTAGTGTTAAGTTTAGAGTTAGGTTTTCATTTAGCATTAGAGTTAGGGTTAAATTTTGTTTTTTTTTTCTTAGCTTCATTAGGCTTCTCATTTTCTTTAAGAACAAAATTTCGCTAACATGTTAGGATTAGGGTTAGGGTTCTGGATATGGTTAGCATTAGAATAAGGGTTAAAATTGGTCAGATTACTTTAATACTTGCAGGATTTATATTTTACATACCCTTAGTAGGTCACCTAGGTTTGGGGCTCTGTTGTTCAATGGTTCACTGGCAGGATCCAACTGAATTTTCATGTTTCACATCATTTTGCCCTAAAGGGATGCATAAAAATGGAGGTGGAAATCAAGCAGGATTTGTACTAGTACGTTGAAACTTGAAACACTCAATCTGTTCTCAGTGCCCACTCTCTGGTTTGTTCTTTGATGAAGTAGCCCTAAGCTGAAGCAGGCAGAAACAACTGTATTTGGGAGCACTTTAGGAGAAAACAGGGAAATACCCATGTACTGAAATAGCTCCAAAATTTGTTGGTCGATTTTTTTTTTTATACTGAGCATGATTCATCTTTTCCCTAGCCTCTCTAGGCTCTTCAAGTTTGTATCTTCTAGGTTCAAATATTAGCTAACAGGTCAGGGTTAGGTTTATGTTTAGTGCTAATGTTAGGGCTATGGATAGTAGTAGGGTTAGGGTTATATTTAGTCGGATTACGTTGATACTGGGCAGGATTAATGCTTTATGAAGCCTTACTAGGTACCCCAAGATTGGGTCTTCTAGGTTCAATGGTAGGAACAGTTTGAATTTTCATTTTTCACTTTATTTTGCCCTATAGAAATTAATGGAAATAGATGTTGAAATCAAACAAAATTTGTGCAAGGTGCTTGAAAGTTCATGAACTCAATCAGCTCTCAGGGAACACTCTCTGGTTTGTTCCTTGTTGAAGTAACCCTAAGGTGAAGCAGACAGGAACAACTTTATGTGGGAGCACATTAGGAGAAAACAGGGAAATAGGCATATACTCAAATACCTCCAAAATTTTTTGGTCCGATTTCTTTGATACCAAGCAGGATTCATCTTTTACCAAGACCCACTGTGCTCCTCATGTTTGGATCTCCTTAGTTCAAAGGTTTGCTAACAGATTACAGTTAGGTTCAGAGTTTGGGTTAATTTTATGGTTATGGTTAGGTTTAAAGTTAGGTTTAAATCTGGTCAGATTACTTTGATACTGAGCAGGAATTATCTTTTCCCTAGCCCCACTAGGGTCCGCAAGTTTATATCTTCTAGGTTCAAAGTTTCTCTAACAGGTGAGGGTTAGGTTTATGGTCAGTGTTATGGTTAGGGCTAAATGTGGTGGGATTATTTAGACACAGGGCAGTTTTTATCCATTATTGATCTTTAAGAGGTTCCCTAAGTTTGAGTCCTCTAGATTCAATAGTTTGCTGGCAGGACCAGTTTCAATCTTTATGTTTCTTTTCATTTTGACCTATAGGGATGAATGGGAATGGAGGTGTAATTCAAACATGATTTGTGCTACCTGCTTGAAACTACACACACGCGATCAGTGTATGCTCTCTCTAGTTACTTCCTTTTTGAAGTTGCTCTAATCTGAAGTAGACAGCTTTACCTGGGAGTGTTTTAGAAGAAAGCAGGGAAATACTTACGTAATTAAATAGCTCCAGAATTTTTTAGGTGTGTTTCTTTGACACTGGGACAGATTCATCTTGTATTTATCCCCCATTAGGCTTCTCACATTTGGGTCCTCTATGTTGAAAGTGTGATAGTAGGAGCAAATGTGACTCCATTTTGTTTTATGACTTTATCCTGTAAAACAACCATGCCAAGTAGAAGAGTCATTACTGGGGCAAGATGTTATTTTCCTTTTGCTATAGAAATCTTTAAGAACACAAAACTACCTAATGGAGTATCGTTTCTGTAACTAGGGTAACGGGGCTCTGTTTCTGTAACTGGGGTGACTAGGATAACTGTGATTGGTTAGGCTTCCCTCCACTTGACTGCACTGTCCTGCTTCTGTAACCTAGCTTGCTTGCATTGGCTAGACTCCTTGAACATCCCTTTTGTAGTTTTCAGGCTTATAAGGAGTGCCCTTGCAATTGTTTGGGGCTGATCAGGGGAACAGATTTATGTTCTGGTTAGCCGGTGTGCTTCAATAAAGGCTTGATTCGATTATACATGAGTGGTCTGGAAGTCAGTTTATGAGACCCTGGGCAAAGCTTTAACTATAACAAAAGGTTTGCTAAAACTTTAGGATAGGGCTATGGTTAGGGTAGGTTTAGAGTTAGGGTTAAATTTGTTTTTTTACCTAGCCACATTAGGCTCTCCAATTTGGGTTCTCTTTAGAACAAAAGTTTGCTAACATGTTAGGATTAGGTATAGGGTTAGTGTTATGGCTAGCATTAAGGTAAGGGTTAAAATTGGTCAGAATACATTGATACTTTCAGGATTCATCTTTTACCTAGCCCCATTAAGCTCATCAAGTTTGGAGCTTCTAGGTTCAAAGATTCACTAAAAGTTTAGGGTTAGGGCTAAGATTAGGGTTATGTTTAGCATTGGAGTTAGGATTAATCTTGGTCTACTACCCAGTCCCATTAGGCTCTCCAATTTTGGGTCTTCTAAGAACAAAATTTTGCTTACAGGTTAGATTTAGGGTTAGGGTTAGCATTATGCTAAGCAGTAGAGTAAGGGTCAAAATTGGTCAAATTACTTTGATACTTGCAGGATTCATGTTTTACCTACCCTTAGTAGGTTCCCTACATTTGGGGCTTCTAGGTTCAATGGTTCACTGACAGGAACACTCTGAATTTTCATGTTTCACATCAAGGATGCATGTTTTTGGAGGTGGAAATTGAACAGTGTTTGTGCTAGCAGCTTGAAACTTCACACACTCTATTCAGTCTCAGTGCCCACTCTCTGCTTTGTTCCTTGTTAAAGCAGCCCTAAGCTGAAGCAGCCAGAAACAACCATATTTGGGAGTGCTTTAGGAGAAAACAGGGAAATACACATGTACTAAAATAGTTCCAAAAATTGGGGGTCAGTTTTTTTTTTAACTAATGATCCTAGAAGACCCAATCTTGGGGAACCTAGTAAGGCTAGGAAATGGATTCATCCTGTGCAGTAACTAAGTAATCTGACAAATTTAACCAAACCCTAACAACAACCATAACCATAACCATAACCCAAAACTGAACCCTAACTTGTTAGTGAACCTTTGAACCTAGAAGACCCAAACATAAGGAGCATAGTGGAGCTAGGTTAAATATGAATCCTTCCCAGTATCAAAGTCATCTGACCAAATTTAACAATAACCCTAATGGTGACCATAACTGAAAACCATAACCATAAACTAACTCTAACAATAAACCCAACTCTAACCTGTTATCACACATTTAAACCTTGAATATCTAAACTTGAGGAACATAATTGTGCAAGGTAAAAGATGAATACTGTTCAGTATCAAAAAATCTGACCAAAAATTCTGGAGCCATTTCACTTCATGGGTATTTCCCTGTTTTGTTCCTAAAGTGCTCCCAAATACAATTGTTTCTGCCTGCTTCATCTTAGGGCCACTTCACCAAGGAACATACCTGAGAGTGTGCACTAAAAACTGATTGATTGTGTGAAGTCTCAAGATTCTAGGACAAATTCTGTTTGATTTCCACCTCCATTTTCAAGGATCTCTATAGGGCAAAATTACATGTAACATGAAAATTCAGAAGGTTCCTGCCAGTGAACCATTGAAGATATAGACCTCAATCTTAGGGAACCTATTAAGGCTAGGGAAAAGATGAATCCTGCAAGTGTCAAGTAATCTGACCAGTTTTAACCCTTACTCTAATGCCAAGCATAACACTAACCCTAAACCTAAATCTAACCTGTAAGAAAACCTTTGTTCTTAGAAGACCCAAAATTGAGGAGCCAAATAAGGCTAGCTAAGAGACCCAATTGAACCCTAAATCTAATGGTAAACATGACCCTAACCCTAACCCTAAGACTAAACTTTCAGTGACATTTTGAACATAGAAGACCAAAATGTGAGGAGATTAATGGGGCAAGGTAAAAATAAATATTGCAAGTGTCAAAACAATCCAACCAAAAATTTTTGGACCTATTTAAGTACATTTGTATTCTGTTCTTTTATCCTAAACTGGCCCAAATACAGTTGTTTCTGCCTGCTTCCACTCAGGGCGATTTCAACAAAGAACATCCAGAGAGGGCACACTGAGAATTGATTGAGTTGTGAAATTTCAAGATGCTAGACCAAATCCTGTTCAATTTCCACCTCCATTTTCAAGTATCCCTATAAACAAAATGATTTAAAACATGAAAATTCAAATTGATCCTGCAAGAGAACCATTGAACCTTGAAGCCGAAACTTAGGGAACCTAATAAAACAGGGTAAATGATGAATCCTGCAGGTGTCATAGTAATCTGATAAATTTTAACCCTTACTCTAAGACTAACCCTAAACCTAACCCTAACCCTAATCCTACCCTGTTTGTGAACATTTGTTCTTAGAAGACCTAAAATTTGGAAGCTTAATAGGGTTAGGTAAAAGACCAAATTTAACCCTAACTCTATTGTGAAACCTACCTCTAATCCTAACCTTAATCCTAAATTTTAGCAAATCTTTGAATGTAGAAGACCCAAATGTGAGAATACTAATGGGACTAGGATAAAGATGAATCTTGCCCTGGATCAAAGAAATCGAACCAAAAATTTAGAAGCTATTTCAGTACACTAGTTTTCCCAGTCTAACCCCTAGAACACTCACAGATAAACCTGACTCTTTCTGCTTCACCTTAGAGCAATTTCAAAAAGAAACAAACCAG